AAGACATTAAACTGTCAACCAATAATACCAAAACTTCGTACACAAAATCATGTCAAGAAACTTTATGCCATTCAGTGTCACGGTGTGTCACCAATTCACATTTACAAACACAACCACAAACAAAAGATACAATAAAATCACTGCATGATAACAAAAGTATAGTGCATTGTGAAAATTTGGTACGATAAGGAAAGATTTGCCAAACCTCTTGGTTGCCAGTAATTGGGGATGCATGCAAATGGCTGTGCAGCCATTTCCTGGTCCTCATGTGCTGCAACCTGATGATTGTACCGCTCGGAATGCTATCGCCTTGCTTGGCAGCTGTTTCCAGCTCAGGTTTAACAATCTGCCAAAAAAACCCAGTTCAATATCTGCAACGAAACAACACCAAAGATACAGAGAGTGCGAGAAAGAGAAGAAAACGACATACCCAGTAGCTATTAGCGTCGTCGACATTGGGAAAACCAGTGACTGACTGCTGGCCACTACCAGAGCCATACGGCACGTCGTGTGAATGCAAGCGAAACTTGGTCTTCTCGTGCATCAGCTTCAGTACGGTGCCGTATGTGATCTGCCCAAATCCCAATTCATTGTATCAAAATCTCTATTAAAATTTCCAAACAAAAAATTAATCGGAAATGAGCGGCGGAGACGAACCCCGACGCCCTCGGATGTGGGAGCGGTGGCGGCGTAGCTGGTGTCGAGATCGAGGCTGTAGATGAGGAACAGAGCTAAGCAGAAGAAGCCGATCGCCATAACGAAGAGTAATCCTAAGAACCAGTTCTGCTGCCACAAGGGGAACTCAGGCTCCGAAGCCCGCCTGGGTATTGTGAATCGCCCCACGACCCGACCTGGCACGGCGGACGACGACGGCGTGGAAGAATTGGAGTGTTTTCTTCGCGTCAAACTCGGCGAGCCTGAAGACGCCACCGTGAGACTTCCCTGAAAAGGGAAATGGAATTCTAGATTTGGGAATTAGGCGTTTGGATTGCGAATTTATGAATCGTTGGCTTCTCTGTCTCTGGTCGTCTGTGACTGTGATTTGTGACAGGCTATGTTTTTCTGTACGGCAGGCACTGCTACTGTGACGTGTATAAATCGAATCGGTGGTTGACACGTAGCCGTCGGAATGACCTGGAGTGTTGTCAGTGGTCGGGTAGTGTAAAGCCACGTTGCGGCTCAAAGACTTCAACTTCTTGATGCGCAAAAAGATTGGACTGAGCCTTGTTGGGCCTATTGATGGACTGAGTTAGACCCAAGCCCATTATCTTCAATTACTTTCATTTTTAAAGTTTAGGGTTAACGTTTAGGATCTAATCAACTTTTATAGTTTTTTTTTTATGTTATTAAATTGATTTCAATATTATTTTCGGAGCGAAAGTAATCATTTTTAGAAAATTTAATCGATATATGAGCGAAATCAATATATCTCTAGATATCGAAATTTCGGTTAAATAAATGTTGATCAATAATTAAAATTTCAACATTCACGTTTCACATAAATTTTACACATAGCAGGTGACTCAACGAAAAATCGAGAGTCATCAGAAAAGTTATCAAACAGGACACGTGTCAACACTTGGCATAAACGATTTATTTCATCTGAATAATATATTCAAAATTAGGCTTTGGAAAATTCTATAAATAGAAGTCATTTCATTCATTTTAGGGGAGACCAATTCATAATCAATTCATCTCACACCAAAACCTTGAAGCTTTGAAACTCCAAAGCTTCCAAGCAAATCCCGAAAGATCAAGCAAGCTCTCTTCGTTCTTCATTAACCCAACCTTCAAGATCAAGCCCCAACAACCCTTTGAAGGAACTTCCACCAATTCAAGATCAAGTCTCGACGGCCCTTGAAGAAAGCGTTCATCGTTCATCATTCGTTCATCCTAAGATCAAGCCCCAACGCCCATTTAGATCAACAACATCAACAAATCCACATATCCAATCGTTCTTCAAGATAAAGCCCAAAAAACCTTTGAAGATCCATTCATCAACTGTTCATCAAGATAAAGCCCCAAAAGCCCTTGAAGATTCGTTCATCAACAGTTCTTCAAGATCAAGCCCAAAAGCCGTGAAGATTCGTTCATCCATTAACCTTCAAGATCAAGCACAAAGGCCCTTGAAGAAACTTCCCTCAACCTTCAAGATTAAGCCCCAATGACCCTTGAAGAAAACTTTCAACCGTTCATCCAAGATCAAGCCTCGACGGCTCTTGGATCAATTGCACATCCACAAATAACACCTTACGAAGATCGAATCAGATGATCAATTTTCAGAGAGATTGTAACCCCATAATCATTAATACAAATATTATTTTGTACACATGTTCTTGTTTCGTTTGTTTCAGGAAAATTTATGTGTTCACAAATTTGGCACGCCAAGTTGGACTATCTCTACCTCTCATCTCTTTGTCCGTTCAAGGAATCCAAACACACCTCAAAGTCAATGGCATCAAGCAAGGGACAAGTTGTTTTCGCAACCACCAAAGGAAGGATCCTGAGCACTTATGCCGCAAACGGACAATCGATTGGCACCACAACCGCTTCTCAACATGCCATTTCAAAGTTGGTGCTGTTAAATGAGCAAGGGGAGCATCAAAGGCGCAAGTCCGTCATCAGCATGACCTTGCTGGGGGCACCGAAGCATGCTGCTGAGGCACACAATATGACATCCAAAAGCAGCCAACAACGTTATTTGTCAGCATCCTGGATGTCTAAAGGAAAGTCACGTCTATTGTTTGCACAAGTCATGACCATCGGCGTTACCTCAATCGAAGAACAACTGGCTCAAATGAATGAAGCGATCGCAAGGCTAACACAGATTGTGGAAGAAAAAGACTTGCAAATCGCTGCATTTGTCAGCCGACCGCCATAATGAAGAGTAATCCTATGAACCAGTTCTGCTGCCACAAGGGGAACTCAGGCTCCGAAGCCCGCCTGGGTATTGTGAATCGCCCCACGACCCAACCTGGCATGGCGGACGACGACGGCGTGGAAGAATTTGAGTGTTTTCTTCGCATCAAACTCGGCGAGCCTGAATACGCCACTGTGAGACTTCCCTAAAAAGGGAAATGGAAGTCTAGATTTGGGAATTAGGCGTTTGGATTGCGAATTTATGAATCGTTGGCTTCTCTGTCTCTGGTCGTCTGTGACTGTGATTTGTGACATGCTATGTTTTTCTGTGCGGTAGGCACTGCTACTGTGACGTGTATAAATCGAATCGGTGGTTGACACGTAGCCGTCGGAATGACCTGGAGTGTTGTCAGTGGTCGGGTAGTGTAAAGCCACGTTGCGGCTCAAAGACTTCAACTTCTTGATGCGCAAAAAGATTGGATTGAGCCTTGTTGGGCCTATTGATGGACTAGGTTAGACCCAAGCCCATTATCTTCAATTACTTTCATTTTTTAAGTTTAGGGTTAACGTTTAGGATCTAATCAACTTTTATAGTTTTTTATTTTATGTTATTAAATTGATTTCAATATTATTCTTGGAGCGAAAGTAATCATTTTTAGAATATTTAGTCGATATATATGAGCGAAATCAATATATCAATAAAGAAAATTACTTTTAACAAATAACGAATTGTGTACATGCACAGTTTGAACATACACATGAGTAATAACATTTATTAATAAACTCGAGGTGTTGCGTAACTTGTGTTGATATGACTCATCGCAATATAATTTGTTTCATAAATTAAATAAAAGCACCAACTTTCTATTATTCGCCACCGAACATGATAGGCAATACTATAAACGTTACATGACTATTGTTATGTTGTGATGTAACATGCACATAATATTCAATAAATTATAATTAAATTGAAGTATAATAATTAATCACTCTCGTTTTACGTTATCCTACAAACATTAGAAAAAAGAAAAATCGAAAGAATTTTCCAATTTTATAAAGAAAATTTTCCTTATAATAGTTTTGGTAATAAAAGTTTTCACAATTGATAGATATCCCCCCATCCATAAATACACATGGATTTGATTATTCATTCCTTTTCCCGCTCAAAATTGGATACTTTCTTCTTTACTTAGAAATTAGAAATTTAAAATTTGGCTAATATGCTAATATACCGTTGGGCTATGGATATAATTCCAATCATTATCTTGATTTTATATACTTATCGACAAAAAATTTCTAAATGCATTTGAATAATGGTAAGAAATCACACCACATTATATTCTATTTTAAATTAGTTTAAATGGTAAGAAAAAAATTGAACTCGGTTTCAAAGCGGATAACACATTTATTCTAACCAACGCAGCTACACTATTTGCGTGATGCAAAATTCAATCACACACATATAAGACTATGACATGACATGGCATTTACCACATATTTGTAACAATATGTTTACACGACCGATATTAAATGAGGTGGATAATTCAAACCAAAGAACTTTAATATAACGGTGAACGTTGTTAATCACCTCAACTATAAATCTTCTTGCACAAGAGCTCGACAAATCTATTATAATAATATATGTTTCAAATGTGTATTCGTTATGGGTAAATTACATTTTACCTCTCTAACTTCGGGTCACATTGGAAACTCATGCCTCGTCTTTTAAACGTTGTAATATTTTATTAATTTTTATCTAAAGCGAGGGAGCAGGCTTTGTGCATACCACGTAAGCAGCTAACGTGAAAAAGTGACGAACGGGAAGATAGAGGATGGTGTGAGTGAGTGGCCCATCAATCTATCCATTCGTTTTCTGTAAATTTCAAATTTCAGTGATTAAAAAAAATGAAAATTCATCGATTTCAAAAATTTAGTCGCTTAACAAAAAAAAAAAGAAATCTTCCCAAGAAAAAGGAAAAGCAGCATTAAACCTACGGTTCAAATACGGCAGGTGGTCCCCACAGGAAAGATCCAAAGGCGGATTTGAAATCCGAAATTGAACTCGAATTCACAATCCCGCGGATTCCGAGCGCTGCTCCGTCGGATTCTCTTTTAAAAGCGCACAAAATAAATACTGGAGATGTGAGGGCAGCGAAAATATAAAATACCAGAGCGATCCATGGATTGACAAATTATTATTATTTTTATTTGCAAAAATAAAATCGAGCAACTCTCTCTCTATCTCTCTCACTCACTTTCTCTCTCTAAAAAGAAAACCCTAACTTTCTCTCTCCAAACATTGTTTTTTTTTTTCTTTCCGCTTTCTCTCTCTTGGATTCGTGTGGTTCTGGGCCTTCAATGGTGTGAGATTAGGGCTAGACCTGCGAGATTGTCAAGGATCTAGACCAAAGAAACAGGAGAGGGGAGGAACAATGGCGTCGGCAGAGAAAGAGCTCGAAGCACAGCTTACGGAAGCTGGGAATCAGCTCTTGGAACCTCCGTCTTCCGTCCCTGACCTCCTTGATGTTCTCGACGTAAGCCCTAATTCCTCTTCGAATTGTTGGGTTTTCTTCTTCTTTTCGGATTGTGAAGTATTTGCGTCTCAGTTGCTTTCGTTCCGTGTTTAATTTCATAGGTTCTGTTAATTAAACTGTTTTTGTTGTGGTTGTTTGTTAATTTAGTCAATTGGGGTTTGAATGTTGTTGTTTTGAAAGCTTCTGGTTTGAGATTCAAGTGGGTTTTAACATTTCCATGTTATTTTTTTGTGATTTGTGCCAAGTTTTTTTTCCCCATTTCAAGTGGGTTTTAACATTTCCTGTTACTTTCATATGCCATGCATGAAGCTCTAGCTATCCTTTCAATGCTGGAATTTTGTGATTTAATGAGGTTGGGGACAAAGGGTTGAGTCTCTATTTCACTTTCCCTTCTAGCTTCTTAGCTGCGGGATTCGTTATTAATTATATCTCTCATTGTGTGTACAGCACACGGGTTAAGTCAGTTATGACTGGGCATAAAAAGAAAGACAAGAATGCATATCTTCGTGAGTTCTGTGTTGGTTTGTAAATGGTATTCTGCATTTAACAATTACCATATAGGTTATAAATTGGAAGAATGATGAAAGGTTTTAGGTGTTTTAAGGTTAGTCTTTTATTATATACAACAAAGGAAGTTCAAATGATCTCCTGATATGTATATGAAGGTAAATTATTAATGTTCACCATGACTAAGAATTCAAATTGAAGGATGGTCATTTCAAATTCAAATGTTTCATTAATGCTCTTGAAGCTGGGCATTTAAGATAGAGGAAAGTCATTTCATATGTTTTTTTTTTCCCCTGCTTTCTCAAGCCGAGATTCGGAAAGAGTATAATGGAAATTTTTTTGGATGCTTTGAATTACATTTTCCTTAAAAAGGATATTTGCTATACACAAGCTTGGCATAACAGTTTCCCAAAAAGGTTTTCCTTGCTCTTCATTTCTACATATCTTCATGAAATCAAGTTTATGTGTCAATTATCGCGCGTGTGCACACCCATTCATTAAATTTATTATCTGTACCTTTCCGAAAACTAAGAGTATTTATTTATTTTTTCTTATATTAAAGTTTGTTACTGATGCGTGTTTTCTTTTCCATGTTCCAGTGATTGTAGATTTTTTTTTAATTTTTTTTAAATATAAACTCACCTGTCATGTTGATTTCTTTTCCCTCTGGTTTCTGATCTAGCTAATTCAATTTTGTCTGCACAGTTTTGGCATAGATTGAATCGAAAAATTCTTGTGCCAGTGTATTGTTCTTTCCCTAATATTTTGTTGTTCGTTTCCTAATATTGAATTGTTCTTTTCCTGGTGATATATTAGAGAGTTGAGAATTTTCTATCGAAGGTAGAACAATCACCTACAAAGTCAATGCAAACTGCACTTTCCCCATCACAGAATGCATTGGTTGCTGAGGAACTTTTTAGGCATTCAAATCCTGATGTCAAAGTTGGAGTTGCAGCTTGCATCAGTGAGATAACAAGAATAACTGCACCTGATGCACCTTATGATGATGAGCAAATGAAGGTACCTGGGATTTGGATCACTAAACTGGATTTTTTTTGTTAGCATCTGCTCATGTTATATTAGAAAAAAATTCAATAAACCTTCTAAATCTTATGCATGCAGGAAGTCTTTCATCTTATTGTATCATCCTTTGAAAATCTACATGACAAGTCGAGCCGATCATACGCAAAGAGGGCTTCCATTCTTGAAACTGTTGCGAAGGTCAGATCGTGTGTGGTGATGTTGGACCTTGAATGTGATGCATTGATCGTTGAAATGTTCCAACATTTTCTTAAGGCGATAAGGTACAAAGTCATAAGTAGAGTTGGAGTCACCACTTTATGTGTGTCTAGACTATAGATACTATATTTTTATTATTTGTTTCTACTGGTGGAGTAAGACTTGGAAGCTGATTTGTTCTAGAAAACACAACACTATATATTTTCATTTTTATGTATTTCAGGGATTATCACCCAGAGAACGTTTTTTCTTCCATGGAGACTATTATGACTCTTGTTTTAGAAGAAAGTGAAGAAGTATCTGCTGAGCTACTATCTACCTTATTAGCTAGTGTGAAAAACGACAATGAGGTGAACAATTGTTTTTGATTGACAATTAGTACCTTCAACATGCTGTTTTATTTTTCATTTTCTAACCAATTTTTTTCTTGTAGGACATTCTACCAATTGGACGGAAGTTGGGGGAGAGAGTACTTGAAAGCTGTGCTACTAAACTTAAGGATTACCTGATAGATGAAGTAAAAAGCTTGGGCATTGTTTTTAATGATTATAGTAAAGTTCTAGCATCAATATGCCAAGAGGCAGGTGACGATACTGAGCAGAATGAAGGCCGTGATGCTGAGCAGAATGAAGTCCATGATTCTGATGAAAATGTGGTATGATGTCCAGAGTTGCAAGATTAAGACATTTTCTATGCATTCTTCTATTCATAATGATAATTATGTAAAGCTTCATAGTTTTCTGTTTTCTCAGCAAAGGTTTTTTTTTTTTTTTTTTTAATCTTTATCCTCTCTCTTATTCAGTAACTTGTTCAATAACATTGGTGTTTATAAAAGACTCCATATTTTTCCCATTTTCTTCTCTGGGGGTTGCGGTTGGTTTGCTTACTTTGGTATGTCAAGTTTGGTTGTTCCTTCATGCACGGCGTCAAACAGCCTGCTGTTGGCTGGTGGTAATATTGCATTGATTTGTCTTTGCAAGCCAAGTCGGCAACTTGGGATTCCTCTCCTCTGTTGTATTAACTATTGCTACTGCAGGCTGCCGAGGAGAAGTCAGCAATTAGGGAATCTTCCAATGAGGTGGCCCAAGTGAGTTTCTTCTGTGAAATTCTTTTTAATTTTTTTCCTTTCTATGTTTTATGTCCTTTATGCTTCTATCAGTAAAAAAATTATTGATTGAAGTGGGTTATTTCACCAGTTCTATTTGTCCTTGCAGGTAGATAAAGAAAAGGCAGAAGCACCAGTTTCTCCTGAACGAGTTGATCCAGCTGTTGACAGATCTTCAAAGTTAGTTGTGAACAATGGTAATGCAGAGACTGGAGAAGATGACTCTGTTGCCGAGTCAAATGCCTTGAAGAAGGAAGAGGAGGGCAACGATACTGAGGATCAGAAAGATCCAAATGCATCAAGCAATGCTGAACCTGATAGTTTGGAGACTGAGAAAGCTGCTGAGGCAGAGCAAATTCCAGAAATATCTACCAAAGAAAGAGCTGGGAATTCTGATTTGTCAACAAAATCAACACAACCTTTAGATAATTGTCAAGCTGATAATGAGGAAGATACTGAGATACAGCCAGAACATAAGCGTGAAACAGAAGATATTCCCAGCTCACCTCGTGAGGATCCTTCTGTGGAGGCAGCTGTGCAATCGAAAAATGAGAAAGTATCTGATGTTAACATCTCTTCAAAGCCATTGGAAAAGGAACCTGCTGCTGTTGCCTCTCCATCTCCAAGTGAGAGCCTTCCTGGTGAAAGTCGCTCCAAAAAGGCTGGACGGAATAAGAAGAAAGATAGTTCTAATAAAGGAGCAGCACCATCGGCAGATGATGAACCCAAAAAGGTAACTGACGGAACCAGTGATTCAGAATTAAAACCAAGTAGACGCTCTGGGAAAAAGGTGTCTGCTGGGGTTTCTAATGAGAATAAAAGTCCAATTGTGGTGGAGGCATCTAGAAAGGAAAGTGGCACCACAAGTGATTCAGAAGCAAAACAGAAGTCAGTCAAGAAGGTAGATGGGAACACTAAAACTAGCGGTGGGTCTTCTATAAAGCAAGCAGAAGATAAGAAAAAGCGGGGTCAAGGAAAAGTTACTCCGGCAAAGGCTGCAACAAAATCTTCAGCTAAGGATGATGACAAAGTACTTTCCTATTGGCTTTGATACCGTCACTTGTTTCTGTTGTTAAATACATTTTTAATAAAATTACTGTTATTATTTAGGAAAGATGGCTGTTCGAACAAAACACAAGCCGTCATTTCCCTACTCTAAAATTAACAGTAGAGTGATTGGTGAACATCTCACCCACCCAATGGAGAGCAAGACACTTCCTCATAAGTAGCCTAAGATACAAAGACAAGAGTTAAAGACCATTCAGGAAAGAACGAGCAAAGATTGGGTGTCACGCATTGCGTCCTTTTGGTTTGTGACCTATCCTCTTCTAAGAATTAATTGTAGGTCTTCTATCGTTAACATAAGTAATTGGCGTAGAAATAGGCTGATGAAACCTCCAGTTTAGTAGCACACTAGGCATTTGCTGCTTATTTATATGGAGGATGACGTGAGTGGAATACTAGCAAGCCACATATTTGTGCTAGTTATATACCACTCAAGTTGCATATGCAATAAGATTTGAGATCTAATAAAATTCTATTAGATTGTTATATTTGTTTCATCTTTATAAAAGTACTTAGAGGTTTCCTGTGAATGGAGACTATCATGTTATATGACTATGCGGTCTCAATCTGTTGCGAATTCATGGCCTCCTTCTTCGTTGCTTTGAATATAATTTATTTATATATTAGTTCTATAGTTCCTGTCCGCACCTCGAGGAAGCATACACTTATTTCATTCAGGCTAACGCATAGATTATTTGGTGAATCAGATAGTTAACTTCTTAACTTTAGGATTGACCATATGCCACCTTTTCGCAATTTACATCCAATAAATGAATAGATGAAAACGCTTACTTAAATCTATGAGTAACATGTCAACTCTTATTAAGAGACTACCACAAATTGTATCCTGTAGTATTATGGGCGTCCTTCATCCATATGTGTATGTGTCCGTATACAGGTGTGATGGCCAATATCTGATCTCTTTGGACGTATCACGAACTCTCCAATCACTTGTGTATTTTTTTCTCGAAATTATTAGAGGCGTTTTAACTCCCATTCGCTTTATTGTAGCTTTCCTTACTTTGTGCGTATTCATACTTTTATATATATATATTCTCTTATAATTATGCGTATATGGTTATCAATATCAACTTTGGCTGAAGTATTTTGTGCTGAGTCAAGTATAAGTCTTATTAGGATGATGAGGCCATGTGTGCATCTATCGATTAAGTTGCTCGCTAGATTTGATAGACTATACGATAGCTATACTGGTTTCAATGTTCATCCGATATCCTCTTGTCATGTAGACTATTATATGCCCACTTAAGAAAGATACTTGAGACAAGGAAGTTTATACGAGTATTAAGGACTTATATGGTCCCTTTTTACTATGAGGTCTTTTGGATGATATGCCTCTCATTGTACTGCATCAACATATGTTCTCATTCGGATTGTTCTATTTTTATCACTTCCTTATTGGTGAGTAAAGGGGATATGCCTCTGGAGAAAATTATCGCTGCTTTAGATGTGTGTGAATATATTAGATAGGGTGGTCTCTAATATATCCATACACACTTATTTATTGAATCCTTCGTTGCGTTTCACACCACAGAATCTGTTATGATTTTTTCTATTTGAGAATATATTGAATATAGTGATAATTTAATGTGTTGTTATATAGTTTATAACATTATGCACTCGCTCACTTTCTATTAAAGAATTTTGTAGTTTGTTCTTAAAGATTTCACTGATGTTAGATGTGATGTCTGCTCTTCACTGTTGATACTTAACGAGATATTCAATGCATAGATGTTTTTAGTTAACTATCTATATTTTGATTAGTTTTGTTCTCCTTTTTTATAGGCACTGACGTAGGATCCCCTTTAAAAGAAGCCATATCAAGGGTCCTCATGCTATTAAATATTGTTAGTGTACACACTATCTCACATTAGTCTCCATTTTATATATTTGTATTTTGAATAGTGTACTAATATCGAGCATGAATCATATAGTATAGGAATTCCATTGAAGATAATATGTACGCACGTCATTTTAGTCACAATTGACAGACTTGCGTTTAAGCTTATAAATTGCTTGTTGTTCACGTCTGACTTCCGAATGTGTAATATATATTAGATAGTCATCATCTCATCTAAAATGGTAGATGTGTTGGTGAGCCACTACACTCTTTAGATAGAAGGTTGTGATGATTTGTAGCACGATTGACCACACTACCTCTTTCTAGAGTTTAGATCAAGATGATGGTAGTCACTTTTAGATCAATTTTTATCGATGACTACTTTAAAATATTCAATTTATGACTCTCTGATTATATATAGCTGGAGAAGCAGCGACGCATTTTCCTGTTATGAGACAGGTGGATGCATGTGAATGATCAATGAGTCGGTGAGGGCAATTTTGATGATGAAAAAGTGACTTTCCTATTATCGGATGATAGAGAGGAACATCTTATTAATGTTTGGATACATATTTGAAATGGTAATATTAATGCTCATATTGGTATATTTCATTGCTGGATTAATATAATATATCTTGTAAGCACTAATATAAAGAACAGAATGTGATATATCCTGATGAAGGATGGAGATTGTTGCTATTATTGTCCTGCACCATGCCTGTGGTTGATGTGATTAGGATTTGTGCTATGAGCTATGGCGAGAGATTATATTCTCCTTGATAGTTTGATCTAGTATGGACCTTCTACTCTGATGCTGAGTGTACACTGCGCTTGCGAATGACGTGATCTTTGATATCTATATGGTTCCGCAATATGCTATGTTGACATTGCGCTCTAAGACATATGGTGTCTCCAGTTATGATTTGCATTGTTTTATGTTTTTTGTAATTGTATATATCCTCATACAAATACCCGCTTATGAGAGGGAGTAATTTGAGTGATTCCTGAATTAGTCCTGTTAGATTCTTAGTCGTTATACCATAAGATATAATTTTGCCGATGCTTTAGGAATATTTTGTGTTGAAACATGGTGTCGATATTGATTCATGAGTTAAGCTACAAATCTGTCTAATCACGTTTTGCTGTAAATGAGAGACAATAGATAGAAGTAACAACATGTCCAAGCTAAGGAAGCAAATTGTGTATATAAGAGAGAATTGTTTTAGAGAATATTAGTACATTGATGTTGTAATAAGTAGGCAAGATAACTCAGATTATGCTACTAGGATCATCGAGTCATTGTTACATACTGTAGGAGGATCAGTACTCTCTGGGAGTCAGTCAGAATGACGAAAATAGGGCGTAACTTTAGTATATTATATTAAGGATCACTGTTCGACTAGGGTCGGGGAGATAGTTTATCCTCTAGAGCTTGTTATGTCTTCACAATATGTGATGGATATATATATTGAGTAGATTTGAGTGGTTCTTATTATATATATGTCACTTATGAGATGAGTATAGAGTTTATAGAGAACGGTTTTGTAGAAGAAAGATATGACTCTTCATAGCTCGCGATAGAGAGGAGGGGATAGATAGCATAGTGCGTTATTATCATTGAATGGTGTAAGGTCAGACTTATAAACCGAGGGTAGATAGTATTAACTATATATTTATGGCAAGTGAGATATGATTAGATGAGAGATGTTTATCATCGGTGAGCATAGATGGGGATCGACGTGACCATGTAGAGTCTTAATTTGGTAGATAAGAGATACACATTATCTTTACAATATAGTGTATAAGGGCTATTGCATTAATAGTATATAGATATACAGAGTGTCTAGTCACAATGTAGACTAGATGTTACGGAAGCTACTAATCAGAGATATATATAGAGCGGCTCTAATTTCATACTAAAGATGCTATAGTCGAAGTGCTCATTATAGGATCTGTTATTACTCCAGACGAACCTCCATTGCTAGTACGTCCTTAGAATGATCTTGGTGGTAAGCTTTATATATGGAATAACGATCGGATAGGTTAGAGAAGGATATTATAGAAGAGGGTTTTTTTCGTCTTGTTCTAACTGGACCAGAGCGATAATAAAGACCTGCTCATCAGAAATATGGTGGCAGGGTGTGGTGGCTAAAGCAATCGCGACTTGAGCATATGAGAAGCGGAGGAAGGATATATGGAGTGAGGTACTGAGGTATATTTATCATTAGATTATGAATACTAGATATATGTTAGATTGATAGCACGATATAAGATATATATAGAATAGCACATGACGCGAGTTAGTTGAAGCCATAATAGAAAAAAAAAAACAGCAGGAGCACGATTAGAGGGGCACATTAGTTATGTATATATTATACTGTCTGCGCTATGTGACGCGCATTAGATATATATATCCCGTGTTTGGATAGAAGATATATATGATGTATTAGTAGTTGTTTCTTAAGTTGGTAGTCTTGATAGCATGTCAGATTTAAGCTGTAGATAGCGAGGGTACCTTAAGTTCGCTACTAATAATAGATCCGAGAGACTTCACCATAAATCTGTAGAGAATACGGACGATATATAATTTTGAGCTTTAATCGAGATGGGTCTAAGAACCTACCAATGAGTCTGTATCTCATCTTTTTATTTATAAGTTTAGTACAATGATATAGATGCAGAGATATATATATTAGGAGATATATATATATTTATGTCTCATTATTGTATTAAGAGATATTACGCTGTTGTGTTCCTCTTTCTCGGAATCTGTGTTTGCTTTGGTACTTTGAGAATTTTTTTTATAAACTCTTTGACTCTCATACCGATAGACTATCTGGGTGGTTTTGTGTGTCCTTGCTTCTCCATGGGAGCATGATTATCTCTACTTTCCACAGGTTACAATATAGTAATTATCTTTTCGAGTCTTAAGCAGTGATTGGACACTAGGTGATTAAGTATGGTTCTGTTTGGCCACTAAGGTTTGTCCTCTTGTTTTAGAGTAATAATATAAAATACATCTTATTGGCAGAAGAATCTCTTTATCTCTATTGAAGAATTGACGTATTCGTTGGTAGCAGCATAAATAAAAAAAGAGTAAGAAGCTAATTTGTTTTTCAATATTAGGAGATTCGTATCTATAA